TTTCTGTTTTCTTCCTTTCTATGCATTTTCTTCAACTTTCTCTTTTGTTTTTTTCCTTTTCTTACAGAGTACAAGGAAGCAAAATAAAAATAAAGCCATCAAAGGAAGAAGCCACAATAATGAGATATAACTCAAATTTCTCTTCATGTTTAACACTTCTGTGCTGATCCCAGGAGGTGGGCCGCTATCATTACTTCCTCCAAGGCCTTCGTATTTACAGTAGGGAGGTGCCCATCCATGGTCGCAGTGACAGTGCTGTTTATTATTGCAGACCCCTCTCATGTTACAGGTCTCAGGCTGACAGGCTGGTGACAGACGAACCATACTGGCACACTTCCTGTTGATGCAGATCTTTTCTGGACCACACGCAGTTCCATCTTTCACTTGACCAACATCAGGTATAGACATCCCCAAATGATAATCAGTGCCCCAGCAAGTCGTGTCATTGAAGTGAAATTGACGCACTGTAGTATGGTCTATCAGTTTGGGAATCTCTGTTACATTTTCACACTGAACTCTTCCACACATGATATCAGCGGTCAAACACCGTACGTATATTGTGCCTACAATACCACAGTGACCAAAACGATTTCCTTGGGTATTGATTTCTTTGTAGCAACTCTGAGATGCACTCAGTGCATCTTGGCCAAAAATCTCTTTACATTGAATATCATGGTTATTGCATGACTTTTTATAGCAGTAGGTATTAACACTACAGGAAAATCCATCCTGCACATACACATCATCTGGGCATTGATGGGATGTCCCATTGCACCACTCCGGAAGGTCACATTCACTGACCTGTTGTCTACATAAAGTTCCTGATGGCATGAATTTGCAGTCTTTGCAACACCTTCCAAAAGCACAAGTAGCTCCAGGAGTCAGAGTGCAGTTTAACAGACAACAGGGATCTTTAGCACACTGATGCACGGTTCCACAGTCACACTCCTCTCCTTCTTCAACCACTAGGTTTCCGCAGAACTTCAGCCTAAAGATATTCTCTGGATATGGAGGAGGGTGAAGACATAATCCAGTATCGTAACTATTGTCAAAATATTGAGCATAACTGCAGTTGCTGAATCTAGTTGATGACTTTCTGTAGGCATACATTATGCAAAATTCTAGCCCACATAAACACCATACAGTGTCGTGTACCATACCCAAATTATGACCAAGCTCATGGGCGAAAACCAGTGCAAAACCAACCACGCTGTTGTCTTCAAAAACATCAACTCCACAATTAAATGGAGTCTGGCATATTCCTTTAACATAGGCAACACCAAGCTTCACACCATGTAATTCTTTTATAAGAAGATGCACAGTATCATGATGCACTCGCCTATCAAAGTTAAAATACTTCCAAAAACCAAACTCCTCCACAACACGATCTAAGTCCCCACTGGTAGAAAATGGATTTTTTTCAGTCCATATCTCAATTCCAGTCAAAATTATATCAATGTTAAGAGCTTCATAGAGAGCATCCACAATATTGACAGTAACAAATACTTGGTACTGAATTACTGACACATTACTTTCAGAGAAAAGGTATCTACCATGGTCTACAACCACTGCAAGCTCAAGAAACCTCTGGTGGGTCCACCAGCCGAAATAAGAACTTTGCTTCAGAGTGAAATTGTATGACAATTGCAACTCCAATTGACGTGCTATTTTCTCTTCTGTTAAACCACATCTCATAGGTGGGAACTGTGTGTCTTCACTGTCTATCTTATACATCAGGTGTTCAAATGTGGCAGAAATCCTAATTGGCTCAATTTCATAAGCAAGGTCATTTATCTGTAGCATTCCTTGAAAACCCCCAGAACAGGTACTGAGGGCAACCAGGGACACAGGGAACCCTTCCACATAACCGTCATAGTAGCAGTCATCAGGGATGAAGGGCTGATCCTGGACGAGGGCATCCTGCTCCGTGTAGGTGAACACAGGGAGGTGTGTGGAAAACAACAGCTTCTTGACCTTCATGTGGACAATGTGTCTCTGGCCCCCAAATCTCAGGCTATAGGAGAGCCATCCCGGAGCCTTTGTACCTCTGCCCTTGCTGATCACCCTCAAGGGGATCACCACTTCCGGGGAGGTGAAATGCTGGGAGGGCCTGGCCTGAGAGTGGCCATAAGTGGGCAAAGGCACCTCAAGCCAGAGCAGCAGAAGAGTGGCCCTGAGATACAGCAGGGTCTCACCCACTGCCATTATGGAGCCATCTGTCCAGAGCACAAGGGGACAGGGAGTGAGGAACCGCTGGTCTGGCTCCTTCTTCTGAGCTGCTGAGGGTACAGGGCTGACCTTATGGATCTGTGTTCTGCCAGAGCTAGACCATCAGAGCTGCAGTGCTGAAAATAAAAAGTGAAAATAAGAAGAAGAGCTAGGATGGGGTGGGCGGGATAGGAAGGATAAGAGAGAGAGAGAAGAAAGTGAAGCAAACTGATTCTCACATCGGGACTGATCTGAAGCAATAAAATGCATGGGATTCTCTTAATATATAAGGGAGAAGGGGGGTTCCAGGAATAAATGAAGAAGATTGGACCCAGATGGATAACTGTCAAACCTTGATGGTCAATACATAAAGATTCATTATATACTATTCTTTAAACATGTAAAATTGCAAAAAAAAAAAAAAATTCCATTTTAAAAAGACATGGCATATGATTCAAATTTCTCTTCCACCCAAAAACCTACTGGCATCCTGTACCTTCAGGAACATGTGGACAATCCATCCAAATCCCACCATTTTTTGTTCCTTTCTTCAGTTTGTTCCATTTCCTTTCTCCTATCCACAGACATCTCATGTAGACCCCATCCAGTTCTAACTTAGCAGTCAAAAAAGCCCTCCTTAAAGGGCTTATTAGTATAGGAAGACCTCCTCCAATCAAGACTGTTTTTATTTTATAATGCATTTTTACCTGCAGAAAAGCCCTGGACATTCAAGGGAAGGAAGGCATACTGACGGCGTAACAGGGAGTGGGACAGCTGTTTTGGGGCAGGGCACACAGCCCAGTTGCCCCCAGTTGCAGCATAAAGGCAACAGCCTTCTCCCCTCACAGCCCACCTGCATCCTGTTCTCAATCATTAGAGGCTTATCTTGGTCATGTCAATATAGATTCAAATCTACTTTTCACATGGCTGGGGAGCTACTTGGATCTATAGATTTGTTTTCCAAAGAACGCTGAGCTGAGGAGCTTAAGCCTAGAGTCAGTTCGTTAAAATGTTTGGATGTCCACAATTTGAGTGAACTTTAAAAACCACATTACTGTTGAAAACACAAATTTTCAGTCAGGTAAAAGTTAATTTTGGTCATTTACTGACTTTCACTTAAAAGTATCATTAATAATTTGCTTAATATTTGAAATCAAAAGTTAAAACAAATTTGGACACATGTTGTTAACACATACTGGTAGCCCGAATATTCTAAATAAGGGCATAAATAGGACCAGAAGTATAGAGCATGAGCAATATCCTTGCCATTATGATGTCAAGAGAAACTGTACCCACGTGTGGGATTCCAGAACTAATGGGTGGCTACCAGATGCCACCAGAGAAAACCAAGATCACTAGATGAAATATCTCGGGGAATGTATCTCTGAAAGAGGTGAAATCCCAATGGCCAGATTTCCTTTCCATGTCTCACTTCATAATATCCTTGGTATCTGTCATAGAGTTTGGGATATTAAGATGGGAATGGGTGAATTGGGAGAGGATTATGAAAGAAAAAGTCTTTGGAGAGCATAATAACCTATATTAAGCATTGTCAGAAATATGATGAGGCTGTAATACAAAAGTTGTTTCCAAAGAATCTTTGTGACAGGCCAGTCTTTGTCGCTGTTGCATGACTACAAAGACAAGTCCTAAAGCAACACTGCGTTCCCATTAATTTTGTGAACTGGTATGTTCCAAAGGTCTTTCCTCTAATATTACTGGGACTTCAACCACTGTGAGAATCTTCTTCTACATCAGTCATTAACTCTTCTATTTCCAGTAGCAATTTAAAAATTCCTCAAAACTCTATCATCTTTCCATGCACTCAGTCTAGACCTATTTCAGCATTTGCCAAATTTGTATCACAAACCATAGTGAGTCATGATATCAATTTAGTTGGCCATAAGTAAATGAAACACAACAGAGTGGAAAGTATCAGAGGGCTTCACATGAATCCATATCTGTTGTTGTTAACCATCACCAAGAATCTAACAAAAGCATAATGCTAACAGTTCTTATACTAACTATCTCAACTATTTACTGAATTCTAAATCGAAAAATTATATTCGGTCTTTGAAGCTGGAGATAGCATTCTGTATATTATATTTCTACAATGTGAGTGGGCTTCCTAAAGAGTTTACCAAGTTGGACACTAGAGGGACACTAAAAGGCAAAAAGAGGATAAGTTGTTACTTCCTGTTTGTTTGCTGTTACTCTCTTCGTAGCCCTAGCAGTGCTTCCTTGTTCTGGCAGTGATATTTGGTTAATACCACATTTACAGAGCCAGCTCCATCAAACCCCATTGAAGGTACCAGTACTAGCAGAACAGAGCTCCCTCCCTCACTAGTCTGAAAACTAGATAAACAAGACCATCTTCCAGTCCCCTGGGCAACCAATGTCAGCCTGACAGCGTCTCTTTCTGAGATGTTACACTATCAGCTCTATCAGGCCATGCCACAAATAGCCTTGATACCAGCCCCAAGTGAGCAATATCCTTCCTCTGAAGCCGGAATCATAGCTTTTGGAGGACCTTCTTCCAAGTGCCTAAGGTACCAGCACCACCTCAGCATCACTTTCTAAGAGGTCCAGCTATGAGCTCCACAATACTGCTTTCCTGAGATCCTGAATCACCAGCACCACCAAGGAATGCCCTGTCCCCTACAGTCCAGGTCCAGACCTGAGGCCCATTAGGAAAGAATCTAGGTTTTGATGGCCCCAACCTCTTCCCTTTGTTTCCCCTTTCTTAGAGATGTATTAATAGCTCCTTCTGGGAATCCTACCTCTGTGTACCTCAGTGTTCCCTTTTTTAGTCCTTTCAGATCTTTAATGCCTTTTCAAAGTTTTCCTATCTTAGTTTTCCTTGGTGGGTTTCTCTTTCCCGGACTGGATCTTGACAGACAGACAGGACTTGGTACCAGGAGTGATAGCAAGACAGAAAGACAAAATGGCAATCTGGGATTGGTTTGGGCATGTCCATGGCCTCAAATACACTGCTGAACTCCCATCCAATGGGGAATGGGCATGCAGTGGCATCACAATTATTTAAATTACTACTCAACATTGATTGTGATGAAGTATCCTATTGACACAAGTACGTAAAGAGACAAAGTGACTATGTGATGATGACTATCATACCTCAAGGACTGAGGGGTAGGATAGCTACCTTTAATCATAATGGACAATTTACACAACTAGGCTCAAGACACTAAATTCTCAGCTGAAATAGAGAGCTTATAATAGTGGAATTAAAAGAATCTCTGCTTTAGCCATAGGAACAAGCTCACTAAAAATCAAAATAACTGTAGGGGTTGCAGAATTACTTTGTGAGTTAAATACATACATTGGTCAACACTCTAGTGGGAAAAGTTAGTATGTTGAGAAGGAAAAAATGCTGGGACTTAAAATGGGGACTTTCAGGTGGACTTGGATGTTTCTGATTAGATACTTCCAAGTATCCCCGAGTCTCGCTTACTAGTAAAAGAGCCCAAAAGGTGGCTGAGAAGTCTAGCCACCTCTAGCTTGAGACCCTGTAATGACCTCAGCTGGGGAACTTACTCTGCAAGAGGATGTCCAGTCTCCTCAAGACATACTCCTACCACCCCTTATGGCTCTATATGAAAATGAGAACCAGATCTCAACATGCTCTAGGGGACAAGTTCTAAGTCTGAAGTACAAGGAAATAACTTCTACTCCAAAATATTTGCAATATTTTACTAATTCATTTTGGCAAAAAAAACCCTGAAGAAACCATAACGATAGCAGTGGTTAAGTAGTTATAAAGAGGATATATTTGATATGATAAAACTCAACAGGAATTTGTTATCTACTTAATAAATAGCTTCAAAATGTATAAAGGAAATCTTGAGAAATGTAAAAGGAGAAATAGAAAAATACAAAATCCACTGTAGGTATTAACATTCTTTCAGTAACTGATAGAACTACAAGACAAAAAAATGAATAAGGAAATAGAAAACTCAAGCAATGTTAATTAACTTAACCTAATTAACACTACACCCAATTACAGCACAAATTAGGTTGAAATACACAAGAAATATTTATCAAAAAAGGTGATATCCATGGTTATAAAGGAAGTCTCAAGAAATCACAAAAAAATTAGATAGTATGTTCCTTAATGACTTCAGAATTGTAAAGAAAATGGTATACAGGGAAAAAAGACAGTATTCATGTGCTTTAAAATTAAACAATAGCCTCTAAATAAGCCTTGAGTCAAATATGATCAAAATGTATAACTGAAAATATTTTGGACTGTTAATGAAAATATAATAAATTAAAGTGTGGAATGTAGCTAATGTGATACTTTGAATTTTCTGGCTTTTAGTCTGTATGTTAGAAAAAGAGAAAAACTGAAAACATTTTATTTGAAATATAGCCCCAAGAAGGTAGAAAACTACAAGTAATTAAGTTTTAACAGCAGAATAAAAGAAAAATAAAGATGAGAGAACAAAACAATGACATTTAAAAATTTTAGAAAGAAAATCATCAAAGACAAAAACTAGTTACTTTTGAAAAAAAACAGAATCAACAAACACCTAGTAATACTGTTGAAGAGCTAAACTGATAAAACACAAATTACAAGTATCAATTCCTATAGACATAAAAGAAGCATAACATATTATAAATAACTTTCTACCAATACATTTGAAAGTTTAAGCAACATAGGCAAATTTCTTGAAAAACAAAATGAAAAGAAGTGACAAAAGAAATACAAAATCTAAACAGTTCTACATCGATAAGAAATTGGATTTGTATTTTTGAAAAAAATAAAAAATAGAAGGGCTTCAAGATGGCTGACTAGATGCATCTGGTATGCACTTCTTCCACGGAGAAGAACCAAAATAGTTTGTATATAATCACACTTCAAATAGAACATCTAAGAGGTAACACTGGAATTCAACAAAGAAGTGAGGTAAAGCACTAAGAAGGAGAAGGAAATGAGGCAGCCTGTTTGGCCAGGATTGGCCAGGAATCTGGAGCGA